GGATGCGCCATAATTATTGTGGGGCAGCAATGAGCAGATGACTGTGGGGGAGTTCAGCTGTTGTTCTCAGGGCCCAGTGACCCACAGGATACACCAGCTCCCTGCCTTCCACACCTTTCTGTTAGTCTTATCCTTTGATCCCAATTTTCTTCAGTCCATCCCTCTGATATTGATCCATCTCAGTGGCAGTAGAATTGAGCACAAACATCTTTCAATTCCTGGTATTGAGAACAAACCATCCTGCTCGTTGAGTTGATCCTGGAGCAATTTGTCCAGGGCCCTTTCAGAAACCAGACACTCATTAGGACCCAGAAGATGCCAAAAATACCTTCCAATGGGCTCAGAAAGCAGATTTTTCTTTTTGAGGGTTTAGGTGTTTGGGGAATTTCAAATACTAATCTGTTTTAACAAATGGTAGTGTATTTAAAAATAAACCTTCCATCTGTTTTAGTCATTTGGAAGCAGCTTTTACAACTGCTCCCAGCAGTCCTCGGGTTGCATGTGAAATTATTTGGAATTGAGAGAACTAAAATACTTCAATATATTAGCGGTTCTTAAATGTGTTTTTTATCAACAGATGTTTGGGGAAATGAATGTGAGTTGGCAATTTATTATGGGATAAAATCTTAAGTCTCTCTGCAAATCTTGGGGCCAGAACTGTTGAAACATTGGTCAAGGGAAATCCTGTGGTGATAATGAATAACCTGTATTCATTTAGCACTTTTGAGACCACAAAGCACTTTCAGTGTCTTATCTCACAGATTCCTCACGTTGATTGGCAAGGGGACTTTATTTTATTTTTCAATCTAGAGATAGGAAATCTGAGGCTCAGTAGATTTAGTGACCTACCAGAGAACACACAACAAGGCAGAAGCTGCATTACTATGTTTCCCCACGCTACGAGGCTGCCTCTCCGGGAATTTGGGACTCTCTTGGGATCTCAAGGTGTAAGATAAAGAGCCATCAGACAGGACTGCATTAGGATCTTGGTCTTGGAGAAAACACTTCACCTTGTATTCTTCACCTATCAAATCAAATCCATGTAATTAATTCTATTTCCCAAGGTCTCGAGATGTCGTCAGGACTTACGGTTTGTAAAATGTCCTGCATAACATAGGAACTCAAGAAATCCAAGCTCCTTCTTCCCTCTTCCTTTGCCAAGGGAAGGCAACTCCAGACAGAAGTACATCCTAGGGCATTTCACCTGTCCTGGGGCCAGGTTAGAGGATGAAGGGTGACTTGTTGCAAACATGCCTTCTGCAGCTTTGTCCCTGGACAGTCTTAAGACAGGGGAGGTCTTGTCCTCTGGGGTATGATTCACAGACCCAGAAAACATTTCTCTTGCTGTTCTGTGACATCACCCCAAGTCTGCATTCCTCGGGGTGAACTCCTGGCCTCAGGTATTGGCCTCAAGCTAAATTGTTCTGTCTTGTGTCTTACTGCATTCCTGGCTATCACCCTTCTGAGGAAATGCCATGCCTTCCTCCAGGCCTTCTTAACTCTGTTCTGTGTTCAGCATATCCAGGATCCACCTGGAAAGTTCCTGCTGTTCTTCAGGGATCAGCTGGAATGAGGCCTCCAAGCCTTTCCTCATCTCTTGAAATAGAAGGAAAGAATCTCACCTTAGTGAAAAGACTTATGTTTAGCAATTCTTAGAAACTGTGCCTTATTTTACGTGCTTATTATTTTTCTAACATCTCTCATTCCAATTCTGTTATGACTGGGTGCTTGAAAACATACATGAGTGTAATCCTCTTAGTGTTTCCTTAACACTTTGCGCAGCATTTTGTTCAGAGACGTGCTGAGTTCCACTGAAGTGAGGAGAGAGATGGCAGTTTGGGCTCAAAGCACTGTTCTCTATTGTTTTTGCAGTGTATCTCATAGTGTGAGCATGCAATGCTTGTCTATTCAGAATTCACCAAACTATTCATGAGTTTTGATGCTTCCATATATATTTTAGGATAAGTTTATTGAGGTTTTATTCTAATATTTTTGCTAGGCATTTAAGTGACGTAGGCTTGATCATTAATTTCAGAAAAAAATCTACACTGTAATGATATGAAGCTTTGCGCTGATAAATCAGGTAAACCCTGTAACCATGGACATCGCAGTTTTGCCTTGTTAGGTCTTTTAATCAGTTCTGAACATTTCTAAATAAAAGTTTTGTGAAACCATTGTGAGGCAAGTTCCTACACGTGCTGTCATTTGGCTGGCCTTGTCAACACTGTCTTCTTTTCTGTTTATTTTCCAGTTTGAAAATACTTGTGTTAGGAAATAAGTTGATTCAGCAACTTACTGAGTTGTTTTGTCATATCTAATACTTTGCCTGTTGATTTCTTTGGGTTTTCTATGAGTTTTCCTCATTCTGCAAATAATGGTGGGTTTATTTCTATACCTGTTGGAGCAGAATGCTCAGTTGATATAAGAAGGAGACCTAGTACTAAAGCAGCTTAGTAGATAAATAAAGTTCTCTCTCGTTCTCTCTCTCTCTCTCTCTCTCTCTGTCTCTCTCTCCCTATCTCTCTCTCTCTCTCTCTCTCTCTCTCTCTCTCTCTCTCTCTCTCTCTCTCGCCATCAGCCAAGATAGTCAGCCCAGGTGTTTCTGGATCACTCAGGGCTCTGGTTTCTTCAAGATATTTCTCTGCCATTTCTTAAGGGCTTCCTCATCTGCAGGGTTAGAGTTTGGGCTGCCAGGGGTTCCAGATGGTAGGAAGAGGACAGAGAGGAAGGAGGACCACACCTGCCACCTTAGGTCTTTGCTGGCAAGGGACACACTCTGTCTTCAGGCATAGTTATGAGCAGAACTGCGTTTGATTTGTGTTTGTTGTCCCTCATCTTTCTTGATAATTCTTGTTCATATCTTCGTCGCTTAGTCTACTTCAACAATGTTTTGCTTTTTAAAATCTTCTCTATGGCTGTGTTTTTTTTTTTTTTGTTTTTTGTTTGTTTGTTTGTTTGTTTGTTTGTTTTTGAGATGGAGTTTCGCTCTTGTTACCCAGGCTGGAGTGCAATGGCACGATCTTGGCTCACCGCAACCTCCGCCTCCTGGGTTCAGGCAATTCTCCTGCCTCAGCCTCCTGAGTAGCTGGGATTACAGGCACGCGCAACCCTGCCCAGCTAATTTTTTGTATTTTTAGTAGAGACGGGGTTTCACCATGTTGACCAGGATGGTCTCGATCTCTTGACCTCATGATTCACCCGCCTCAGCCTCCCAAAGTGCTGGTATTACAGGCTTGAGCCACCGCACCTGGCTATGGCTGTGTTTTAAGAAGTCTGTTTCATTGATGTCTTATTATTATCGTCTGCTTTCTTCCCGTTTCCTTGGCCATCTGTTGTTCTTTCAGCTTCTTAAGTTCAAAATTAATCTCATTACTTTCATTCTTTGTTTCTTGATGAATTTATTTCAAGTGATAATTTGCCCTCTCACTATTTTATCAGCTACACCCAATACATTTTGGAAAGTAGCAATATGTCATTTATTTCTAATATTTTATTTATTGCATTATTTTCTTCTTAGCCTAAGGAATTTTTTAGACTTCAGATCCCTAGCATTTTTCAATTTTTATTTATCGTTTTGAAATTTGATTTCCAATTTTATTGCTTTATTATCATCCAGCATGAATTGGAGGATGCTGACTCTGAAATTTATTAGGACTTTCTCTGAAATTTATTAGGACTTATCCATTTGTTGGCAAATAAGTTATATAGTGTTATCAAAATCTATCTACCTATTTATTTATTTACTTATCATTGCTTACTATATCAGTTTCTGAGATTTGTGTATTTAAATCTCCAAATGAAATTATTGATTGATCTGTTTTCCCTGTTGCAGCTGTGTAATCTGTTTTGATACTATATCATCCCATTAACATAGGTGCAATCATCGTTTCTTCTTAACATATTGTTGCTTCTGTACATCTCTCTTTGCCCTTATGTAATTTATTTTCACCTTAAATCCCATTTTTTCCTCAAAATGCACCACACATTATCCTTTTGTTCATTTTTGCATTAAATTTTTTTTGCCCCTTTAACTTCAAACTTTGTGTGTCAATAGGCAATACAATGATGGAATTTAAAAAATGTGTCTTCCACACAGCATGATGTTTTAAATATATCAGTGAAAAGATCTTACCCCCTGCTTGGATCCTTTCAGTGGCTCCTCCTGTCTCTTAGAATGGGCCCTATGCCACTCCATATCCTCCAGGGCCCTGCAGGACCTTTCTGATACCTCCTAACGCCCCTCCCTCCTTCCCTAGCTGCCTTGGCCTGGCGGCCCTGGCTTCTTTTAGCTTCGTCAGCATGCAGTCTTGCTTCTCCTGCCTGCAGAAATTGCCCCATTATTCCTGCTGACTCCATAGACTTCCTAGATGTTTACATGACTGTTTGCGGCTCACCTTTCAGGCCTCAGCCCAAACATTGCCTCTGCTTGGAGGCCTTTCCTAAGGCTGGACCTGAAGGCCACCCTGCCTGGCAGGCGACTGCACTAGGGCCTGCCCTCATCGTCATCACTGCCATCATCAAGCGTCTTGTCTATTTATGATGTCATTTTTGCATTGACATGATATCAGACATTGCATTCTCCATGATATCAGAGACCTCATCTGGTTTTCACTGCTACAGCCCCAGTACCTGAGCAGTGTCTCTGTGGTAGGTGTCTAAAAATCTGCAGAAATTCTTGGGAGAATGAATAATGCAGCTATCACAACTAATGTGTGGAGAATCTAGGCAAGATGTTTTTTATAACAATTGTTCAGAATTTGCTCTCCCCTTCAATCCCTTAGGCTTACCTTCAAGTTTCATAAAACACCCTCCAAAGGCATGCAATCTGGTTTTTCTTAAGGCCTTACCTCAAGAGGATGCTGCACTGCTAACTAGCACCAAGTTTCTTTGGGTGATCTTTGCCTCTAGTTGTACATTTATTTGCAAATTTGAAACCCACAGAGCTTCTGAATGAACCACCCATCCCCCTCAACCCAGAAACTGTCCGCACATGCCAAGGGTTAAATATTTATTAGGTTTATTTTAATTAGGAATAAATACATGATTTAGCGAAGTGTAATGCTCCCCACTTAGAAATCCCTCTGGGTGCTCCCCAACATTCCAATCACGTTCGTCACAATGGAAAACAATACTTAAGATGCTGTGCAGACATCTGGAGTTCAGGGCTCACCCTGCCTTATGCGGGAAGTCAGTGACCACAGTATTACATTCATTTCTCATACGTTGGCTGGTTCTTTTGAAATAGCCTTTTGGAATTGTTGGGGAAACCACAGATGCCTCCTTGTATAAACACACTGGAATCTATGATACAGAAAAACTGCACATATACATACCACTAGCACAATGAGCTCAGATGGACGGAATGCTTATGTGAGCAGACAGACTTCGAAGGCAGGGAAAGACACTGAAAGCATGTGCCCCTTCTACCCCAGGATCCCTTTGAAACAGGGAACATGAGTCATAGACTCATCTGCAGCCCACTCTCCTCCTAACAGGATTTGGATGGGAGCTCCGGAGATCCCTGCTTCTCCTTCTCTGGCTATACACTGTGTTTTCTCCCTTGTCTCTTAAAATTATGCGTGACATCATTAATCCACTTGGATTCCCCACTTTCCTGGAGCTCAGCATTTTTCCTCATATGGATGCCAGACCCTTCTTAGAATAAAGTACTGGATGAATTCATTCTTTAGAATGTCTCCATTTCTTTTTTAAAAATTCAGCTATTCTTACCCAATCCATCCATCCCTTTCACTCTGAAGAACAGCCAGAAAGTGAGCTCCTGAGTGTTCCTCACCTGCCTCCAGTTCCATCCTAAGCCATGAGTGATTTCTATTTTTACATATTATTTTTTAACCACTTTTTAACCTGTCTACACTGTGAACATCTCTACTGGGGGTTGGGGACTTATGAATTTTTTTTTCTGGCCTACATGACACATTACATAGGAGTTAATGCAATGCCTCTTCAGGCAATAAATGAATAGTTGATGCATTAATGTAGGCAAGAATCCCAACATTCCAGAGAAGCTCTCTCTGCACTGCAAAGCCGTGGCTGCAGACATCAGGAAAGCTGGTGCAGTTCTAGGTTTGCCCCCTCGATTTCCCTGCCAGCAGCCTTCCTCTCTCTCATGCTTCTGGCCCTCTGCAGAATCAGGGAGGCCATCTGACTTCCACCCACATGGCTTTGGTGCAGGAGCAGGCCCAAGGTATCTCCCAATGGAAGGCTCAGAAGTTTTTCGGGCTAATGTTTAGTGTCACAGAGTTCCTATAAAAAGAGAGGAAAGCATCTCAGAGATCCCTATGGATTGGTTAAAGTAGTTCCATTCAGGGGATGCATCGCCAAACCTAGACCTTCTGCCAGGCCATAGCTTTTGTTTCCTCTCCCTCTCAGCCTTGGCTACAGAAGTTCTCTCCAATGACCATGGAGTGTAGCTGTCTGGACAGGTCCAGTTCCTGGGGGAATGATCCTGGTGCACTTTCTTGTGAGAGTGGCTTTGTCCTGTGTCCCCCACACACAATGTGTGCATAGATACATGCTGAGCTCTTCTAAGCATTGCCTGACATGTCATGACCCAATGTTTCATGATGCCACAGCCCTGATGACAGCAGGCCAGAGTTCCTGTGGTCATGATGTGGATACAGAAGATGCAGCTTTGAGCCTCCATGTGGCTTCTCTTGGCTCCTAAAATATATGAGTTTCCTGGGGATCAGAGAATCTTGCTTTTTGCAAGATCCCAGGCAATAGTTGGAACCTCTGTTCCTTTAGGGCATGAACCATTGTGTCTGTTCTTGGCTAGTCTTCAAAGTAAGGTGGCGATGAGAAGAAGGAGCTTTTTCTCTTGCTGCCACTGTACATCAGGGAGACACTTTTCTTCTTTCGATCGAAGGAGGTGTTGTCCTCACTGGTCAGGGACAGGTAAGAGGCGATGCTCTCTCGAAGGCCATAGCTGAAAAGGGACTCGTCTACCCCAAGTGGGTTTTCTGTTCCCTCACGGTCCTCCTGCAGTCTGTGGGTCAGAAGAAAAGGGGGCAGAGAATGGGAAAAAAGAGAGGATCATAGAGAGAGGAGGGGATGAGGGCAAGGGAATGAGAACAGGAGGAAAAGAAAAACAAAATTCCTGGTGACTATTTCTCTGTCACCCAGTCTGGAGTGCAGTGGCGCAATCTCTGCTCACTGCAACCTCTGCCTCCCAGGCTCAGGCAATTCTCCTCCCTTAGCCTCCTGAGTAGCTGGGATCACAGATGTCTACCACCATGCCTGGCTAATTTTTTTGTAGTTTTAGTAGAGACGGGGTTTCACCATGTTGGCCAGGGTGGTCTCAAACTCCTTAGTGATCTACCTGTCTCAGCCTCCCCAAGTGCTGAGATTACAGGCATGAGCCAGCCCTAACTTATTATTCTAATTATTACTCTAACCAATTACTCTACTCTAACTGCAATTATTCTAACCGATTGTTTTAATACTGGTTCTTATATTTGTGGGCCGTATGATCTTGGACAAATCACTTAACCTCTCTGAACTGCTATTTTCTTGGATGGCTGACACTTCCAACTGTAAATTCTAGTAAAATTAATTTTATTATTTATAAGAAAAAGCAGTTTTCTTTATCTCTTACATAATTTTGATCTCTGATTTTCTTTGATTTGCCAGTGGGATCTCTGGATTGATACTGAAGTATTAAGATAACCCACCAATCCCAAACTACAAATAGCCTTTAAAATTCACTAGCTGACAATGGAATAAACAGAATAAATTGATGAAAGATTTTTTTCTCCTAGAGAAAACAAAGAAGTAACTGTAGGATTCTACTGATGTGTTTAAGCTTTGTGAGAGGGTTTTAAATAATATTAAATTTACACAGAATGTGTTACTTTCTAGGATCCTAACAATTAGAAAGAGAAAGGTGGTATATTTTAGCCAGAATGTATACTGCTAACATAGAATAAAGACTCAGTAGATGTTTGCAGAAACAGGGGGAGCTGCCACACGCCTTGTGAGGCTTGAGACCGCAGCAGCACCCAAGGATTCCCTTGGTCTACATCTGGGTGGGGTTCTCACCTCCAGGTCTCAGCAGGGCTGGCTGACCCTGGTCACGGTTCTTATGTACTAGGCACACACTGTTTTGTGCTCGCATGTTCATGGACCACTTGCATATGTATACACACACAAACACACTCTCTCTCTCTCTCTCTCTCTGTATGTATGTATACACACACACACACACACACTCACCTGGACACTCTCCTCCAGTCCACGGTCTTCTGACGCAAAGTGACAGGTGAGCTGGAGGTCCTTACTGCTGGGGCAGCCGTGCTTTGTGTCAGACAGGGCGTGGTGAGCACGCAGCACAGGCCATCAGCCACTTCTGAGGAGGGAAGCAGACAACCAGTCAGGGACCCTGTGGACGCCGCAGCTAGTGTGGGGTGCCTGAGACACCCTCCCGTGCAGCTCCCTGGCTGTTGCCGTGGGGGAACTGGGGCTGAGACTTCAAAGGGGCATGGTAGGTAGTAGCAAGGCTGAAAGTCACATGCTCAGTTGTTTGAGAAATGTGAGTGTGCCCTGGTATATTCTGCATTTAGGCAGGTGTGGACAGAGAGAGAGGTTTAGGGTCCAGTATCAACCAAACTTGGATTTGAATTTTAGCTTTGCCCCCATGGTAAATGACCATGAACTTCTCTGAGCTTCATTTTCCTCAACTGCAGAATGAAAGAAACAAGGCAACAAGTGAGTGCCTGCAGAGGCCGCAGCCTTCCGGGGTTTCCCACGAAGGCCCAATCCATCGACTTCATGGGGTGTGAGAATGGGGCCACATACAACACGCATCCCCCCAGCTGTGCATTTAGTGTGGCACAGGTGGACTAAATACACCTCTAGGAAGAAAGATAAAAGAAGCAATGAAAGAAGGAAGGAAAGGAGACAGGGAGCTGAGGAGGAATGAAAGAGGACCAGAAGGACAAGCGAAGATGAGATGGAGAAGGAGGAAGAGGAGGCAAAAATAGCACAAAAAGTAGAAGACACAGGAAGGGAGGGAAGAGTAAAACAAAGAGGGCAAGGAGAGAATGCAGACGAAGAAAGAGCGAAGACCCTCTCCCTTTCACTCTAGAGACTCACGCACAGAAAGAATGAAAATTAAATAAACCTGTTTCTTTTTCCCTTGTATGAAAATCTCTGTATGAAATGTCCAACTCTCAGGCGCATCACGACATAGCTTCCATCTCTTGGAAGGCTTCTTCCTAGCCCATGTTATCATCAGAAAGACTTGATTCTGCTGTACCCAGGTATCTTAGAGATTGAGGAAATTCTGTGCAGTCTTATTCAGGCTAAAGACCCTGACCCCAGTGCTTCTCCTGTGCCCTGTGGGGAGACGACATGGCCAAGGGGATGAGGAGCCACTAGTCTCTGGCTGGACTGAGCCAACCCTGGCCTCAGAGCCAATCCACCACCAGGGTTTAGAAAGGACATCAGGGCCGGGTGCGGTGGCTCAAGCCTGTAATCCCAGCACTTTGGGAGGCCGAGGCGGGTGGATCACGAGGTCAAGAGATCGAGACCATCTTGGTCAATATGGTGAAACCCCGTCTCTACTAAAAATACAAAAAATTAGCTGGGCATGGTGGCGCGTGCCTGTAATCCCAGCTACTCAGGAGGCTGAGGCAGGAGAATTGCCTGAACCCAGGAGGCGGAGGTTGTGGTGAGCCAAGATCGCGCCGTTGCACTCCAGCCTGGGTAACAAGAGCGAAACTCCGTCCCAAAAAAAAAAAAAGAAAGCACATCACACCTCTGACAGGTCCCACCTCCCATCTGATTTATGGAGTGCTCACTGGGGCATCCTTGCCAAAGAATGAAAAAAGAATTTGTAGCAGAAGAAGCACACTCAGCCTGTCACAGAGGGTCAGCCAGGAAGACCTTGTTTCATGGTTTTCAGTCTAACTTCAACTATGAACTCAAATGTCCACCCACGCAGGTGCCCTTGGAGAAATGGGAGGTGAGACCATGAATTTTGAGGGAGATTTAATTGGATGGGAATCTAAAATAATGACCTGTCATGGGTTGGAAATTGAAATGGCCTCCCAGGTTATGAGGCGAGGAAGATGAAGTCAGATGCAAAGGCTGGAGAGATCAGCTGCAATGTGCAGCTCAGGCAGGGGACGCTTTCTGAGTGTCCTTCCTCAGACAGGTTAATATGCAGGGTGAAAAAGAAATTTTGACAAAATCAAAAGAGCCACCACTCATAAGCATATCACATGCCCCCAGCACTAAGCTAGCCTCGCCCGCTGGATCACACTGAGCCCTTGATCAACTCAATGTTTTTATATCCATTTTGGGGAGTAGAAAGCTGAGGATCTTGAGGTGAAGTAATTTGCTCAGCACCATAGAAATGTGACCAAAATCAATCGTATTGACTCATTCTAAAAGCAACCCATTGCGTCTTAAACGAAGAAGAAAGACACCGTCCAGCTCTCTCTAGGATTTAGACACCCTGGTCTCATTCACCCCTGTTTACATGGCTCATCAGAATGCACAGTCCTCTGGACCTTTAGGATCCAACAACTCTATATTCAAGGGTTCCTAGACCCTCAAGGTCCCCAGCCCTTGATTTTCCCAGCCATATTTTAGAGCTCATTTATGCCCATGCCCTCTGTTCTCTCAGTAACCAGCATGCATGGTGTACTTTAGGTGCCTCATTTTTCATGTGCATTTTTTTTTTGGACTAGGAGAAATCCTGTGAAGATTATTGCATTTTAATCCCCAAGTTGTAAATAAAAAAAAACTGAGCCTGCAAGGTGTCAAGTAATTTGCCTGAAAGCATCATGATAAAAATTATAGGCAACCTGTTGTTAGATGTCTATTTAAACCCCTGGTGAACAGTTCTCTCATTCTGTCTTTAGAATGAATCCAGTGGAGATCAAAGTGGCTGTGTGGTTTCTGCTTGGGGATTCTGAATGGGGCATAAGGAGAATTTCAGGTTTTCACACCCTTTTCAGTTATTCACAGAAGTGAACAGATGACTGTAATCCATTGAGTGGTTCGATGACCGGGAACATATTGTGTGAAGGTGCTAGTGCTGCCTGGGGTGAGATATGCCCTATGGTCAAGCAGTGGCAGGTAGATTTGGGTGTTTCTGGCCTGGTAGCCCCATGGCCTTGTGGTCCCTAGAAGCTTTGCTAGGACAGCATCCTTCTTATGTTTGCTTTTGTCTATGCAAAACTTATGGTTTCCACACCCCCTCTGATGGTTGTTATTAAAAGTCAAATACCACAACCAACCTTTACTCAAAACCAATATAAGTTGGCTGTTTTCAGGACTCCCTTCCTCTTTCATTTTTACCTGGCTGCTAAGTTTTCAGATATCATAGAAGTAATATCTGGTATCATTTATTTTGCATCTGCTGTGTGCCAGGCTATGCTGAACACGCTATGTGAACAGTTGTGTTTAATAATGACTCAATCACCTGCTAGGAGCCCATATTCACCAACCTCCCATAAATGGGGACCCCAGGTTCTGAGGGGTGGCTGACCTTGCCTAAAGCCTCACATGGGGCATATCTGAGCTTGGACCAGCCTCTCCTGAACAGCCATTTTTGCTCCATGCCCTGCTGCTTCTGGTGGGCCAGCTGTGATAACCAAAGCCCTGTAGACTCATTTCTCCCTGAAATACTCTGTTTCTTCAGTTCAAGACCCCATATACAAGAGAATGCCCGCAAAGTTGCCCCAGTGTGTGAGTTCAAGCATCCTGAACCCAGAAGGGGGAAGATGCTATCAAAGCAAAAGCAACCTCTTCCTTTCCTCCCTCCAATATGTAGAGGAAGCGAAGAGCACAGCGATACTCTGCTGGGTAAAAGTGGCTGGTATTTAATGGGAGCTCGTGGTTATGGGCCAGGCACCCTCCCACTTTCCATGCACTGACTCTGTGGATCCTCACAGTGTTCTTGAGAGTGGGGACTATTAGTGTCTGCCTGGCACAGATTAAGAAAGTGAGACACAAACAGCCAGCCCCAGGCTGCCGAGCTAACAGCGAGCAGATTTGGGATAGAAACAGAGCTTCCAGAGCTGGTTTTGGAAATTTAGCGTTTAGCCAACTGTTCACAATAGGGTAAAGTGCCGACTCCTGAGCTGACGTTTGGGCTTTTCACAGTGTAACTGAACTTTCTCTGTCTGGCAGTGTCCTACTCTTCCAGCTACCAACACCACATAAGATAAAGATGCTTCCTTTATCTTAGTGGATGCTCCCCATCTCATCAGCCTGGGAGAATTCAGACCTCTTCCTGGGTCTGTGAAGGGCACAGAAATGAACTAAATGCAATTCCTAGTATTTAGAAGCCTGTTAAGGAACACAGGTTAGCACACAATCAAACAGACCATGGGGAAGCCTGATTAGAATGCTAGAAAAGGAATCCTGGGCGTGCTCTGAGCACAGTGAAGACAGGCAGCCACTGGTAACTCCTGTAGCTTCATTGCAGAGGCGATTCATGTCAGCCTTGAAGGCCAGTGAGGATCTTGACAAGCAGAAAAGGGAGAATGAGGAGCAGTCTAGAACAAAGCCCCAGAGGCTTGAAGATGTATGCCCCACTTAGGGATGTGCAAGCTGATTGCAGTTGTGAATCTAGGCACACCTTAACTTGTTGAATGTACAGGTAGAGAGTGGGCAAATTTGAGATTAGCTGCATTTTGCTAATTAAGGCAGCATACACAGGCAGTCTGTTTTAGTCTGAAATTTACAGTCTGAATTAACAAGAGAGCATATCATGAGGGCAGCATGGGCAGAAAGCAAGAGTAAATCACTGCATTTATTGGTGACCCCTCTGCATTCCAGGTGGATGGCGCCGCAGAGCAATTAGCTAAGAGGGGTCCCAGCATCACAATCAGTCCAGATTAAATGTCTCTTACCAGAATAGTGGTTCACCAGGTCCTCCAGGCACTGGAAGGTGAGCCTCGGGGAAATGTAGTACCAGTTGTTGGGCAGGCGGAAAATGCGGTAATGCTTTACCTGCCTGTGTCTCACCGACAGCGAGTAAAACCCTGCAGGAGATGGAGGATAAGTCAGCGGGCTCCACCTGTCCCCACCTGAAGGCACGCAGCTAACCAGCCCACCACCACCGAGACAGGGAGACCTGCCCACCCTTGGGATACAACAGTGATGCTAGCACATGGCCCCTACCTCCACTAGACCCTCCTGTGTTTAGATGTTGCTTCCCATTGCAGGAGTGTGTTATTGTGTCAAAGCCAACGTGTTCAGCATATGGCCCTGACAGGTTTTCAGGAACACAGGTTTCATCCTCTTTGCTTTTTTTTTTTTTTTTTTTTTTTTTGAGACTGGGTCTTACTCTGTCACCCAGACTGGAGTACAGTGGCATGATCTTGGCTCACTGCAACCTCTACCTCCTGGGCTCAAGGGATCCTCCCACCTCAGCCTCCTGAGTAGCTGGGACTACAGGCATGGCCACCATGCCCGGCTAATTTTTGTATTTTTTGTAGAGATGGGGTTTTGCTACATTGCCCAGCTAGTCTCAAACTCCTGGACTCAAGTGATCCACCCACCTCGACCTCCAAAAGTGCTGGGATTACAGGCATGAGCTATAACACCCAGCCTTGTCTTCTGTCTTTTTGAGGCAAACACATTTGGGGTGCTTCCACATCCCGAGGCCGAATTGAATGATTGTAGTTTGGTTGCAACCTGTAGCTCCAGGACCCGTGGTCGCTTTTGGCTCCTTCCCAAGTACATTCCAAGATGTCATCCCTACTGTTTTCCCCTTTCAGCCTCTGTCCCACCAATGCTGCCACAGCACACATTTGAGGGGGTCCTTTCAGTTATACTCCCTCTTTATCTATACTCTCTCTGACTTAAGCTTAGTTTTCTCAGAAATTTGAAGCAGTTGAGTCATCTTTCTGGGTGTCCCTAAGAAACATGTGAAAGGTGGGTTATTGTTTCTTAACCCTCATTAGAGCAATGACCTGATATGGCTTGGTAGGAGCAGAACTGCAGGCATGTGCCTCGATTTCTCCAAATGCAAAGTGAGAGAATTGGATGTAGGCCATGTTTTAGGGTCCTCTCTGCTCTACCTTCTAGGATTTCAGGAGTAGAAAAATGCCCATCAGACAGAGGAGAAAGGAAACTGATTGATTCTTTGCTATCTCTGCTGGGCAGGGCTAAGCAATTGCCAAGAAATTTCTATTAATTCTCAGAAAGATCATAGGAGGCATTGCCTCCAATTACTTTAAAAATGGAGAAGCAGAAGCCTAGAGCCTCAGTGGGATACAGCCAGAGGCATGGGGCTTGGAAATGCCACCTTGGGATGTGAACCTTGTCATCAACTCATCCCTCAGGGCGCCCCAGGCCTGCCCTGAGTCAACCCAGTGTGAGCCTTCCCGTAAGGTCGGAACTGGGAGTGTGGTAAGCATGTCGAGAATAACAAGTAAAAAAATGTTAGAGCTTTGCATACCCAAGGTGGGCCTGCCACACCCACCCAGCCCCAGCATGATCACTCATCTGCCTGATAATATCTTTTATTTTTAGATGAGCTGTGGCACCCACCCTGGGTTCTTGACCAGGCCAATTTAGGAGTTTCTTTCTGAGTCGGGGCATCCTGCCTCCGGGGACCACTGGGTCAGGCAGAGGATGTTTTGCTTTGGCTTTGATCTCTTTGTCCCCCAGCCTATTTGGGTTTTTGAGAGAAAAGTTGATCTTGGATTTTTTTTTTTTAATCACATATATCTGATCCCTGCTCTCTGAAAGCGAGGTTGATGCTCCTTTTGGTGAAGAGCTCCAGTACCAGGTAGCTTTGACACTTATTAGGTGCATGAGAAGCACTCTCAGATACTGTGTTTTCTCTTCTTTGATATCGAGGGTACAAGAAGCAAGCCAAGAACCTGAAGATACCTTGTGAATTTAAAAGAAGTTATTATTTAGTCTGGAAAAATCCTAGCTGTTAAGTATTTTGGGATAAACACAGTACTCTCCTACTGTAAATTTCATGGTCTAGATCAGGGAGCTGAGGCTTAGGGAGAGAGAGGCAGTAACTTAGTAATTTGTAAGGCTAAAATTGGAATTTGGGACCCTTGCTTTGAACCATGATAAAGAGCTCACACTATGTGTTTTTACTGAGGTACTTAATGCATAGGATGCAAGGAAATGATAATGCTAGAGATGGTGGTGACTGAAAGGACACAGCTGATTCTCCGCTTTGGTTACAGAGCACAGAGGAACCTGATACAGGGGCCATCTGTGCAGCAGGAGCAATATAAATATTATTACATTTTAATCTCCCCACACCCTTATAAGAAAGGGATTTTCTCTCCATTTCATAGATGAGAAAACCGAACTCAGGCAAGTTAGTCACAGAGCTTGAGAACACAGACCAGGCCTATACTGAAGGCCACTTTCTATCTGCCCAGCATGCTGTCTCCATGCTATGTTGTTTTGTTCTCAGTTGCTGGAAAATTTTCCAGCAGGAGTCATCAGGCCTGATACTAGCCAGACCCATGGCAGTGCCCAGTGGCTCCCCACTGCTGGTCCCCTTGTTTCCACACTGGCCTCTCCAGCAGCCTGTGGGCTGCAGGGGGCTAACTACCTCGGGTCGATTTGCATGGACGTAGGAGGAAGGAAAATGAAGCCATGTCACGAGTCAGCCAGGAACAAAACATGCTTGTCTGCCCCGAACAGGGATAGATGAGTTGGAGGCCACTCACCTTTCTTGGTCTCACTTTCTCTGATCATGAAGGAGCCAACCTTCGTGTCTGGCAGCTGCAGCAGCTCCTCGGCCTTGTCTCTGCCCAGGCCCTCAAAGAGCCAGCTGGGAAGGAGGAAGACAGCCATTAGGATCCTGAGCAAGTCCTCCAACCATACTAAGCACTTGAAACCTAATCCTCATCTGAACCCACTAAGACAGGTAGCATTATCTCCCTTTCACAGACAAGGATATTAAGGGTTCCAGTGATTAATTTGCCCAAGATGCCATGTCAGCAGTTGATAGAGTTAAAATTAGAATTCATTTTTCTGGGACATCCAATTCTATAACCACCGTACTTCGCTGCTGCTCTTTTATTTATTTATATCTGGAGTTACATTTATTTATTTATTTATTGCTATGTCACCCAGGCTGGAGAACAGTGGAGTGATCTTGGCCCACTGCATCCTCCACCTCCCAAGTTCAAGTGATTCTCCTTCCTCAGCCTTTCAAGTAGCTGGGATTACAGGCACATGCCACCATGACTTGCTTTTTTTATTTATTTTTTTTTCTTTCGTATTTTTAGTAAAGATGGGGATTCACCATGTTGGCTGGGCTGGTCTTGAACTCTTGACTTCAAGTGATCCACCCACCTTGGCCTTCCAAAGTGCTGGGATTACAGGTGTGAGCCACCACGCCCAGCCCTGCTCTTCCTCTTTGATATATTAGGGGATGTGATCACCTCTGTTAGATTGGTAGTCCCATGGGCTCATAATTATGTCACTCCTCTGGGTTCCTCACCACCCTCAGCTCCCACCAGCTGCAGCCCCACAGCTTCAGCATGAAGGCACTGATGCATGCTTGCTAATGAATGAATGGCTCCAGGCTAAGCAGCTGATGCGGAAGAGTCATATGACTCACATCTCTTTCAGAACGCGGCAGCTCCTGCTCCACTTTTGTTCACCTGTATCATCCTAACCATGGGAATGGCTTCTGGTATTCACAATTAATTTACAGTACTCTCCTACTACAGTAGTAGTTTACTGCAGTATCTACCACAGTACTAGTAAATAATGAACGCTGAAATTAAACACGTGGAATTTCAGTCTTCAAAGGATTCAGGTGGTTATCTCTGTCTTGCAGGATGAGCATGTGGCATGTAGAGTCTTACTCTGGACTTGAAGAAGTAACTTAGTATTTGTCAATGGATTCCTCCTTCTTTCTTTCCCATTTCCAATATTCTGTGCACTTCCTTGCCAACTTCTGGCTTTGGTAACTTGACAGATGAGGATAATGTAACTCCGGGAGGTGAAGCCACTTTTCTAAGGCCCTCACGTGGAAGTAGGGAAGCCAAGATTTGCGCTCATGTGCGCAGGGCTCTAAAGCCACCCAGGAGGCAGCAGAGGCCTCGCTGGCATGACTACAGGAGACAGCAGGGTGCTTATTTTCTTATCTCCTGAGCCTGGTTTTCTAAGATTTCTCTAGTTCATCTTACCCATTTTTCAAGGAGGGCACGTAAGCATTTTTGGCAGTAAGGATTCTGTGTGTTCCTGGATAGGTATTTGATTAGAATATAGCTAATATTTATCGAGTGCTTACTGTAATGTCTGGCATTGCTCCAAGAATTATGCATCTATCATTATATCTTATTCTCCTAACAACCTTATACTTTGATAATATTATCATATGTTATTATCCCTATAATTCTATATTATGATCTCTATTTGACAGGTGATACATAAAAACTTGTTCACTATCACACAGCCAGTAAGTGACAGAGGCAGGATTTGAAACTAGACAAACTGACTTCTAGTCTCTGTACTGTGCTGTGCCCTATAATAACATTTCCCAGCTGTTTACCACTCTGTGCCAGGAATACGACGTTAGAGCTGAAAGGCCCAGCTTCCTTGGTTTTACTGTGGGAGAAGTTGAGTTCCAGAGAGCAGAAGAGATAAATGAGCCCAAGGCTGCGCTTTTCCTTATTGACTGGGTTGGGAGTAGGAGTATCTCTTCTTGACCCAGTACCTTCATTTCCACTATAAATGCTGGAATCTTTGTTCTGCCTTATGAGTCACCAGCATAAGCGTCATGCTTAATGGATGCCTTTTGAGAAATGTACTCACCCATGGTAAACTCTGGCCACACATATTCCAGGGATGTAACTCTCTCGACCAGTGCTAAGAGAAATAGCTTTCCACCAGCCCCCTTCACTGTGAGAACGAGAACAGAGAAGAGCACAGAGATAGGTAAATAGCGAAAAGAAAGGATGAATGAACAGAGTAATCAGATTTAACCCAGGACAGACTGGAACATTCCTCTATTAAGACCTGTCACTGGTCATGTTAATCCAAATTTCTTCATCTGAAAATTTACTTTTTAAAGGATGTGTATCCAATGGAGAGCCCTCCATTGCAGGCAACTGCTAAACCCTCCCACGTGCTGGAAGTAGCTGCCTTTCAGGGATTAGCAGCTAAGGTTCCCAACTGTTGGGGGTTTTTAAAAAATAAATGTTTACTATATTGATTTATAGTCTGCAGTATAACCAAAGATAGTCTCACATATCTGCATCAATGAAGATCTAAATAAAAGGGGCTTATTTGGAGTCCCTGTCATGCTCTATAGCTCATATTGAATCAGACTGCAGAGGCAAGAGAAGAGAGAGCAAGTCTTTTATATTTCTCATCCAAAGGATTTCCAGACCCTGGGGCCGCCTTCCCAGTCTTCATTCCTACATAGCATCAATACTGCACATGTGGTGAGAGATGAGAAGAATATGAGAAGAGGTTGGATCATAATGAATCTCAAAAACGAAGTTAAAAAGTTTAAATTTGATCTACTGGGCAGTGGGGAGCCATGGAAGGTTTTAGAGCACTGGCCACATTAAAGAGGAGGGTTGCAGTAAGGGCCAAATTTCTCACCTCACAATAGGACCAGGACCCACGTGGAACTAGACAACTCTAGCTAAATATCAAATGATTTTCACCCAAACCAAGTTTATCCTTTTTTGAAGATTGTACAAGTTTCGAAGAGCTAACTCACTCAGAAATCACACGCAGTTTCTCCCCTCGGCGGAATATAGGGGGGCTGATGTCAGGAGACGGGTAGTCATTCAGCACGGCGAGGAAGTCGCTGTCCAGTCCTGGGGAAACAAAGGCAAGGGGGAGGGGGGCAGGGAGCTTTTTATTCACAAGGAACTTAAAGGTAGCCTTGGGAGGAAGGGTATAAAGATGAGAATTTCCAGCAGGAGATACTTTTCTTGTTTTGAAACACTAATTTACAGCAATGTCCTCTCTTCAGAGACGGCAGTGCAGGGTCCACGTATGAGCCCTGACGGTCAGGTGACATGCTCGTATTCTCAAGCCTGCCTTGGCCCTGATGTTCTCATCTGAGAAATGGGATCCAGAGCCTGTGAGCTGAGTCATGGGGTCTGACTTCAGGGCCTGCCCTGAGTCTAGTAGCCTCAGTCTCTCCATCTTTAAAATGCGACTAATAATACCTCATTCAAGGGTCCTTAGGAGAGGAAATGAGACTATTTTACACCACATACATTCACATAAGTTGCTATAAAAACACCCCTTCTCATTACCAGTGCCTCAAGTGTCCACTCTGGGACTCAGAGGTGTTACGTCTGTGTCATGTTGGGGGAAGGGGTGTCAGGTTAAATGAGTTCTGAGGACCCGCCAGGACCATGAGGCAGTAACCCTGAGGTTAAACAAAACACTTCTTTCTTGCAGAATATAAGGCCCCACACTGGGCATTTATTTAATAGGGACATTTGTTGAGGGTAGGGATGGTGGAAGAAAAATTGAGTACTTTTCCTGATAGTGTATTGAAAGGAATTCTGGTGAAATTTTGACAAGGAAAGAGGGCTGTCTGGTTCCTGTGAGTATCATTGACTGTAGAGCAGAGACAGTGATTTTGCTTTTTGACACTAAGTGACATGTCTGCTTCCGTCCTCAGTGATTTGATATAATTCAGGTGTGTCCGAGGCAGGGTACTATTTGGGTACATTTTGGGGAGAGATAAGATGTCTTCCATATCGGCAAATACAGCTATTATTTGCCGTGACTTTCATCACTCCTGCTGACTGGGCCTTCGAACCTAAAATTCTGGGTAGCATCACCTGTTCATTCATTCTTTGGGCAACTACTTACTGAGCACCTGTCATGAGTCAGCATAGGTGAGCAAAGCAAGCCCATTCTTGCTGCTCTCGTGGATCTCAAGCTCTAGAGGATACATAGTCATGGGAGGAACTGTTTCCTGGTTTGCTCACTGCAAGAAGCCCGGGCATGTGGACTCCATGGCTCAAACAAACCACTTTCTAGGATCCACACACCTCTAGATCCTGCCTCTTACAACTCATATGTCTTACAGCCTTGAGTCGTAAGTCTCTTGGGGAGACTAAGTCTAAAGAGAGATTCAATACTTGAATGGGTGAGAAAGAGGAATGAGGTTCTGAGTAAGGTTATGCTTATCAGTTGATAAATGAATTAGAAACAAGCAATTGCAATGGAACAGTGCACCCAAATGTATTGTTCATTTGTGGAAGCTGAGTTACCGACAATAAGCCACGTAAAAGCAAGAGTTTCTGGATGTGAGAGAGAAACCGAAAAGTGATCTCTGGTGGCTTTCCAAGTCTTGGAGGGGGATCAGGGCTTTTGAGAAACAGTCGGGTTGGGATGTAAAAGGGCTGGCTGAGCCAGACCCTGACCTGTCCTGCTGCAGACCTTCCCTGAACCTGTGAGAGCAGCTCCCTCACATTCCGCTTCACTGAATTAAAAAAACGGGTTCTTCCTCAGACTCCACCCCAATAAGTGAGGCAACATTACAGTTGTGTTAATTTTGAAGCCAGAATTCCCAAGTTCTCACAAAGGGCAGGTTCATATTTGGCGAGGCATAAAGCTTTTGCATATTTGGTGGTCCTCTTTAAGAAAAAATACACAATGAAGACTAGAGCCCAGGAAGGTGCTGTACCAGCAAGGGGATCTCAGGGCTATGATTTGTTTGGTTTCCTGGCAAATCTGCCCAGAAGCTGAGGCTGACTTTGCTGCTCACTGAGTGGGACACCTCCTTCTTCTCTTGCGCCTGGGTTTCTTAGTCTGGGAAATGAGAGGTTTAGAAAAACCTTCAAGGTCAAAATCCAACTTCCTGGACTAATGGCCCCCAAATAGGAAAGGGCCATTTATTACCCTGGCACTCTGCTGCCTTGGCTACATGTGACCAGCCTTTCTCCAATTTGCCAGGCGCCCTGGTTCTCAGAGCCTCTGGATACGCTGTTCTCTCTGTGTGGAACACACCCTGCCCTTCCCTCTCTCACCCCTCCCACGTTTGTCAACTCTAAACTCACCTCTGCAGAGGCTCCAGAGGAGGCTCAGCCTTCTCACTGTACTAATTCTTCCTCTCAGCCCCTGAGATTTTTCTTTGAAGCAATCACCCCAGACTGCATTTTCCCATTTGTGTGACTGTCGGAGGAATGTCCATCTCTCCCACCCCTGGCTGTGAGTTCCGGGAGGACAAAACACTGGTGTCTTCTGTGTCTTGTGACCCGTGCTCCGCCTGTTCCATAAAGGATACTCAAAGCAGGTTTACTGAGTGTATGGAGCGGTGCCTGTGCTGTGATGCTGCTTAAACACAGCCATCAAGCTGCAGGTTTAAAGCAGACCCAGGCAGAAGGAAACCTGATTTGTGGGAGGCCACTGGGTAGGTGGCCACTGTGGAACCAGCCCCTGGTGAAACGTTTTGAAATGGAGAGGTGCAGCGTGTGTTATCTATGGCAATGATAGAACCTTGAGGTAGATGCTGTGTCTACAGAGGGGATTGAGGTTTGATGTCAAATTCAAGGTTAAGACTGTGGAACATAACAATTGTCTTTCCTAACATTAACAACAAAAACCAACAGAAGCAAAAACAAAAGCAAAATCCCATTATAAAAACAACCGTTCCAATGAGGGAAAGGAGGGCTTACAGGGTTAGAGAGTTTCAGTTTCACAATAATGAAGTTAAGTTTCCTGTGGAATTTCCGTAACAGTGATGTTTTGATAGCTAGGCACTTAAACATCACTGAGGAAACTTCCCATCTGGGCTTTTGCTTAAAGGTCAGATAACCTGTGCCTAATCCTTTGCAAGAGACTTCACCTCTGTCTGCAAAGGTCACCTTTATTGTCAGCATTAGCCAAACGGGACAAAGTCACTGGGAAGGTAATACACTTTGGCTTGTACTTCTGTGGGGTAGGGTGGCCATTCTAAGCAAGACGCGGTGCCAGGATCCCTTCAGAGTCTTCCCTGAGTTTTGGTTGCTACCGAAAAATAAATGCAATGTAGGAAATTTAAGTTTGCTGGTAAAGGTGAAACATATTATCATCTACTTCTAGAACTCCTTAGCTTTATGAAGAGCTCAAGCAGAGATAAATGAGTGAGACCAAGAAGAGGAGGGCTGAGGAAGTCAATGGAATTGTTGCAGACTTAAGATAAGGCAACAAATCAAGTGAAGACATTTGCACTGGGCATGACAGGAGAAACCCAGAGAGAACTTTTGGGACAGAGAATGGGCTTTGAAATCCATCAGAACTGGCTTACACACCACCTCCACCACTACATGGCTGGTGCTGTTTGGGGGGAGATTCATTTTTATCTAATCTGAGGTTGATTTCTTCATGTATAAAAATGGAAAATGTCAGCATCTGCCTCATAGGATTGGGTGAGGGTTTGTGATGCATTGCGCTTCAGGGTCTGCCTTACTGAGTGGCTGCTGATATTATTTTCACGGAGAGCAGGGTCGCCAGACAGTAACTTAAGACCCGTGTTGGCCAATGACGTTTCTAAAATTTGCAAACTAGTAGTATACACTTGAAAATTTCTGCTTGTCTAAAAATGAACTCCATTTGGTGGGAACGAAAGATGAAATTCCAAAGATCAAATATTTGCTGATAGCTCAACTTAAGAATGGTTGAACAAAATGTACAAATGCGTAAAATAGGAAATGAATCCCCAAAGGAGAGGGACCCAGGCAGGCCCTTACTGGACTTTGTCGAAAGGACAAGCCCTTTTGTAAGTTGTTGTTCCTTAGTGCAGCAGAACCATTTCTTTCTTTTTTTTTTTGACAGTCTTACAGTCTTGCTCTGTTGCCAGGCCAGAGTGCAGTGGCGCAACCTTGGCTCACTGCAACCTCTGCCTCCAGGTGTCAAGTGATTCTCCTGCCTCAGCTTCCCAAGTAGCTGGGACTACAGGCACCCGTCACCACACCCAGCTAATTTTTGTATTTTTAGTAGAGGCAGGTTTCACCATGTTGGCCAGGATGGTCTCTGTCTCTTGACTTCGTGATCCGCCCTCTTCGGCCTCCCAAAGTGCTGGGATAACAGGCGTGAGCCACTGTGCCCAGCCCCCGACCATTTCTTTTTAAATGCTGAGAACATTCTCAGTTACTCCCACTTATAACTGTCTAGACAAATGACTTCTAGCAAAGCTAGTCATTTGTCACTTCCAGTGCCCTGCCCAGCCCTACAGAAAATATGTGATTATTCAAGGGTGAAGAAACTGAAGCTGGGAGAGTTTTAGTAACATGTCCAGGGGAAGGTGTGTAGATTTCAAAGCCTCTGTTCCTTCATGAAGCCACATGGCCCTCCTGGGCACTTAATCTCCAAACTCTCCTCAGCTCACACTTGACCCTTACCAGGGGAGATGAAGCAGACTCCAGCTGAGTCTTCAGGATTAGCATGAGCAGCTCAGGGCAGCTGGCAGGTAGGAGCTGTATAGCCCAGGGATTGTGGCCTCTAGTTTTGGATTTCCTGGAGTCATGCCTAAACTCATGGTCTCCTAAGGGGTCAAAGCAGGCCTGACTTTTAGTGTCTTCTTCAGTAAACACACACACACACACACACACACACACACACACACAGGATTATACATGCAACTAACCAATCACACAGAGCTGGGCCATCTAGCCTAGTAGAAGGTCTACCTACTGAGTCCTGTGTGTCACCATGAGCCAGGCTTGTGGAGCCTCTTAGTCATATGAAAAGGGCTGTGTTTGGCACTCAGTAGCCCACAAAGCTCTTTTCTGCCCATGCCTTGGTTTTTCCGTATGTTAGTGGGAACACAGTGGCACTAAACAGACCTCGAGGCTTTTCAGGGCCAATTTCAACCTCTGAGATGCTAGAGGGACACAGACAGGGCTAGCAGAGAACAGAAGCAAGAAATAGTCAAAACCAATATTTTGGGCTGCATAGACTCAGAATGTGTTTTGCTTGGACACTCCGGGCTTCCCAGACTTCAGTTGCTTTTATTCCACCATCCCCTTCTTCCCCCTCCTCCTCCTCATCAGCAGCAGCAGGGGGCACGGCTCTGGGGGAAGCCGGGCACTGCGCCATGTGTGGTACCCAGGTTACCCCTTAAGTCTTCATGCCTCCCTTTGAGGTTGATAGATGGAAACTACCTTATTTTGAGTATGAGTGAAATAGAGGCACAGTGAGTTCCAAATACTGCCCAAGAGAACACAGCTAGGAAGTAGAGTGCCAGGTTTCAAAGCCAGGTTTCCCTTGGGCTGGGCTGGGCAGGGCAGGGCAGGGCAGAGGAGGGAAGGGCAGGTCATGGCTGTGCTCTGGACCACTCAGCCCTCCTTTGTCATACTTCACACCACCAGTTACTTGATAATCTCTTCCTTAAAATTAATTTGCTTAAAAATCCCTGGTGTGCTATTCTGAGCAATGTGACATCATGGATTTCTTGGGCTAGTTATATATTTTATGATGTTCATCAATGTAAAGCTGTAAAAGTTGAATGATGATGTTCCACCTAAAACCATCTCATCAACCAGCAGCAATGTTAGGCACAAATAGAAAAAAGGGATCTGGTCTAAGATTTGACGAAGATTCACTGTCTGTGGGATCCCTTGCTATATCTTGTGGCCAGGCATGTTCTCACTCTCTCGAGAGCGAGCCCACCTCTCTCAGAACCTGTGGGCTTCTTGAAACCCTGTCCTCTCCAGGCACACACTGCTGTGGGGAGACGGACCCTGGAGTCAGGCCACCGGGCTTTGAATCCCAGCTGTCTCCTCTGAGCTGTGTGGCCTCAGGTAAGTCAGTTAAGCTTCTTGTACCTCAAATTCTTCAGCTGCAAAACAGAGATGATAATAGGCAGAAGCCTTGTAGGGCTGTGAGAAGCGAGTCTGTGCGTTTAAAGCACTGGGAACTTTGTCTGGAGGCTGCGAGCACCAAGCAACTTGAATTATTCCTGTTTCACAGAGAGACTGAGGAGATAAACTCTCTCTCATCTCTCCTTGTGTGTCAGCGCAGGGCAGGACTGAAAGCTGGTCTGTGGTCCGCAAGCTTTTGGGGCGATAAAATCCCAGGGACTCGTAGGAAATTCAGCTGGCAGCTACCTCCTACTGTCCCCAGATTCTGATTGGTTTGGGCCCAGGAATCTGCATCTCAACTACGTCCCAGGGGATTCTGATGCAGGTGGTGTGAGGACCACTTACTGAGAAGCTGCAAACTGGGTTTGAGAGGTCCCTGCACCCTTTTTCCTTCCCTGAGCCCCACCTGTCCCTTTCTTTCCACTGGGCAGCTACGCAAACAGCATTATTTCTACCCTTGCATGGGCAGAAAGGGGTCTGTGCTGCTGCCTCTGTTGGCACCTCTTCAGGTCAAGGTGATAAGAAGAGAAGGAACAGCTGGGCGCAGTAGCTTATTCCTGTAATCCCAGCATTTTGGGAGGCTGAAGTAGGCGGATCACCTGAGGTCAGGAGTTCAAGACCAATCTGACCAACACGGAGAGACACCATCTCTACTTAAAAAAAAAAAAAAAAAAAGTACGAAATTAGCCAATTAATCCCAGCTACTCAGGAGACTGAGGCAGGAGAATCACTTGAACCCAGGAGGCAAAGGTTGTGGTGAGCCAAGATCACGCCATTGCACTCCAGCCTGGGCAACAAGAGTGAAACCGAGTCTCAAAAAAAGAGAGAAGGAACAAAGAGGGGGAAAAGATCAGAGCGGAGAGATGGAGTGCTCATTTTAAGGTGGAAATATGCCATTTCCTGACCACAGGGGGACTTCCCTAGGTTATATTCAAAAGTTCTGTACTGCCCATGTCTGGTACAGAAGTATGTATAGAATTGTAGAGAAAATGAACTGTTTGGGATTATTTGGAAGCAAGTCACAGAACTACCAGTTTTGCCACTTTAATACTTTTGGGGAATGGCCATTTAGATATATATAGCCCAGTGCAGTCAGGTACCCCCAAATGGATTTTTTTTTTTTTTTTTTGAGACGGAGTCTTGCTCTGTTGCCAGGCTGGAGTGCAGTGGCACAATCTCAGCTCACTGCAACTTCCATCTCCCAGGTTCAAGAGATTCCCCTGCATCCAAAATGGAGTTTTGAAAAGTTTTCACACCCTTCTTTGCTGGTACCTGCTCTACATCATGGTGTCACTGTGAGAAGGAACTTGTTCCGGATCTGTCTCGGGGCAGGCCGAGTGACTCACCTCAAGTCACGCAGCTTCCACGGAACATTACGGGAAGCTCCGTGAGGACCCGCTGCCCCTGAAACTTGCCCTATTTCCCCAAGTCCTACTTCTTTTAGTAGGTTTTATGATATTAGTTTCTGAAAACTTGACTAATCAGGAATGTTCTGGAAAGCTTAGTTTATGGAAAAAAAAAGCCAGATTGTCAAAGCCATGTTCCAGGCGTTCACAGTCCTGGCTTGGGGGAAGAATGATCTCCTAAAAACTCAGAAAACGTGGTTGTCTGAAACTCTCCAGACTGGCCTCTGGGTGATCCTTACACAGGGTCAGGGTCTGCAGTGCCTTTAACTCTGGCACTGAAGCCAATGTGGAAGCTGGCTCTGACTGCACATTGGCCTAAAGCAACCAGCGAGACCTGCACTGTTTCCTGGGTTGTTTGAGGGTAACCAGATGAGCAATCATAGAAGCTTTAGCTGAGGAGGAGCTCATTCCAGGAAAACCCTAATCCTGGGCATGAGGAAGATGGGACTAGTTAATACAGCATCACTGCACAACCCTCTCCTCCCTCACTCAAGCAGATAAAAGAGAAAAGAGGAAATAACATTAGGACTGGTGATCAAGGGAACTTCTCAGGGCTGGGGGGTGGAAAAGCAGCCCACCAGCACTTGATGTGGTTGCCTGGATCACAAACGGGGTATGACTGGGGGAATTCTCTTCACCAGGGGGTGGAGGGGTGGGGAGACCCCTCTGTCTACCTCCGCTCTAGAGGTGACCTCTTACCCACATAATGGAAAAAATAAACTTATTTTATGACAATTTGCATTGAAAAGTTGAAGGCAAATGAGCAAGCCTCGGAGGCTGATGTTTTCATGGGGTTCACTCGAGCATGCTGCCCCCTCTGCCCCAGGCTGAGAGGTGAAAAGCCAAGATGGGTTGGATGGGGGGGAGCCTCCCCAGCCTGCCTGGGCCCAGGGCCCTGCGGAGTCAGTTTTCTAGCAGTGATTATGACCAGAGGAGGAGGCTGTGACCAAAGCCAGTTGGAAGAGGGTGAGAAGGAGCCCGGGCGTTCTCCTGGCAGCAGCAGCAGCAGGCTCAGCTGCCCGCACATTGCATGCTATTCCGAGTGCTGCATGGAGGTAGAGGGCTGCTCCCCGCAGGGTCCTGAGGACACAAGCCCTGCTCCGCCTTGTCATCTGGTTCCATCTCCTCGGTCCTGGGGAATATTCTTTTTGTTTTCCATCTTTCATGTGGTTTGGGAAGGGGAGTTACTGCACTAGATAAGTCAGAGCTACCAGGATTGTTCAGCATCTGTCTTGAAAGGGGGGTAGCATGGCTGGGTCTTAGCATGCTGGCTTGGAGGCATCTGAGGCCATCAGACCACATGAGCTGGGCCTGTCCATTTTGGAAGAGGTGAGAAGGCTCCTTTGTGAGGGAGCCACAGAAGTCATGGAATGCGCAATAAGTACCTGAAGGCAGCTCAGGAACTGGCTCAGTCTGCTCCCCTGTTAAGCTCGGCAGACAGGGCAGCCATCTGTGCTCAGTGAACTCCGCCCAGTGCGGTACTGCAGGGCTGCTGGGAACCACGTGTGGCCATCCCTGCTAGGAGATGGGATGCCAGGCCCCAACGAATATGGTGTAAGGTGGGAGGCAGAAGTGTCCCAAGGTGCCCCTTGGCCTCCCTATCGTCCCTTTCCCAAGACCACAGAAGATGAGAAGTATGAACTAGGAATCTGAGGAAATAAAGACCAGGCCATTAGAAGGGGCCAGGATAGCTGAGCCCAGCACATGGTGGATTTGACCTCTAGCCTTTGCCCTTTGTTCACTGGTGGTCCTCCCAGGCATCTGACCAGTTGCTGAGGAACTCTTTGTAGCTTTGGTAGTCTAGCCAAACCTGGCATCTCCCCAAAGAGCTGATGTTGTCATCACTGATTAACTTGCAACAGTAGGCTCTTTCCCCGAGAATGCTTGTCACCTTGCAATCCCACCAACAGAATGTAAGGATTCCTTTGCTTTCAGGAAGATGTCAGAGGATGGTGCCTAGCTTAGAAAAGGAACACAGGCCCAGCCTGTGCAGGGCTAACTCTATGGGTGATATTATATTATGGTCTGCCCGAGTGTGGTGAACAAGAGTCTAGGTTTCAGAATCAGATGGGCCTAGATTGGAAACTTATCAGCAAATACTCAATTATGTGGATTCCATTCCCTTTGTGAACTTCAGTTTCCCTACCTGGAAAATAAAGGGATTGAAACAGCTGATCTTGGAGACCCATCTCAAAATGCCAAAGATTTAACATCCTTCAGGTGCGCCAAGGACCCAAACATTTTCATCTTTTAATTATGAAATATTTGAACCACAAATAAAACTAGAGAGACACATATGAGTCCTTCGGTACCCATTGCCACGTTTAAAGAATTATCAGCATCCACCACCACACAGTCTTTATCACAGGCTCTTGTTGCACAGACCTAAGCATCTCACCAAAGAAGCCAGACTTACCCTCTTGGCTGGGCAGAGGCCTCTCGGCAGGCGCAGGCGTGGATTTCATGCTGTTTCCCATTTCTTTCTCTCTCCCTGGGGCCGTTGGAGATCCCCGGAGCCTACGGTATAAGATACACACGGGGAAAGTCAGCCGTGCCCTGAGCCCTCCAAGTGGAGAATGACCCAGTTTAGAGAGCATCATGCATCATTTTTCTGGCAGCTTGCTTCTTGAAAGGCAGCTGTTTATATGTGAAGACGAGATTGGTGAAGATTGGTTACTTTTGCACAGCTCAAGTTCTTTTATCAAGGGAATGACAGAAAAACCACAGAGAGGGAAGTTGCTAGCAAATGCTGTTGGTGGCAAAAGTTTCCATTCCTCCGCGCCCTTGCTGGGGATGGTAAGCAGCCACAACAGGGTGTGTGTGAGAAACTGAGCAGCATTTCAGGTGGCCCAGAAAGTATCTGCACTCAGGGGCCCTCACTGTCAACTCTGTGCACTAGGAATTCAGAGCACAGGAGCTGTGCAGCTGTACAAGCGAAGGCATGAGGAGAAGGTCCACTCTGCTGCTACCTTTCTCATCCGCTTGAGTTTGTCAGCATGCGTTAACAAAGGATGGAAAAGGACAAGTTTATAACAATTCCGTATACTGGCTGCATGCTGCTGGCACCCTTTCACATTGACTGTAACTTTTGATCATTGTAAAGTCCTTGCACCACACTTAAGCCCATTCTGCAGTGAGGGAAACTGAGTCTCAGAGGGGGTAAGTGACTTGTGTGAGGTCACGGGGCAAGTAATTGTTGAGCCAAGATTTGACCCAGTGATGCTAAACCTCTGGGTGGAGCCATAACAGTTTTCCAGGGTAACCACTGAGGCTTAAATTCTGGCTGTGTACTTACAGGCTATATGACTTCTGGCAATGCATTAACCTTTTTCTGTTTCTGTTTTTTTGAGGCAGTCTTACTCTCACCTAGGCTGGAGTGCAGTGGTACAATCTTAGCTCACTGCAACCTCTGCCTCCCCGGTTCAAGCGATTCTCCTGCCTCAGCCTTCCAAGTAGCTGGAATTACAGGCACACACTCCACACTCAGCTAATTTTTATATTTTTAGTAAAGACGGGGTTTCACCATGTTACCAGGCTGGTCTTGAACTCCTGACCTCAGGTAATCTATCTGCCTTGGCCTTCCAATGTGATGGGATTACAGATGTGAGCCTCCACACCCAGCCAAGTCGTTAACTTTTTTTCTGACTGCTTTGGGGGTCACGAATCCAACAGTGTTGGGTTATGGTTAAAAAATCAACTGAGGTTGGTAGCATGGGAACCACTTTGAACATAGCCTGGCATAGAGAACACATGTTAGTTATAACTCTTTCGAGTTTGTTTACTGATTGTATGATATAAGTTCCAAGTATGGACCTTCATATGAATATCTTGGAAAGGTACATAGATAATCAGAGAATAGGGTTTTAGGGAAGCTGTATTCCCTCTGGATGGTGGCAGCACAGAGAGGAAGGTCACATAGAGCTCTGCCTGCTTTATGGGGCCAAAGAGAAGAGATAGAACAGGGTCTCCCCATCAGCCTCCAGCACAAATGGAAACGTACCTCCCACCTACCTGTGTCTGTAGCTCAGGATCAAATCTTATGAAGGGCATGAAAGTCAGCCCATCCAACTCCCACCCTGACCTTGAATCCTGTCTCCATGGCCTATGTGTGCAGGTTCTGGAAGGAACTACACTCTCAGAGAAAGGCCCTCCCAGATGGAAAGAGCTCTGCAATGCTCCCTAATTTGAGGGAAGGGGTGGTGTGTGGTGAGACTCCTACTGTATTATGAAACAAGGAACACCAAAATGAGTGTTGTTTAAAAGTCCATATATCTCAGACATTTACATGAACAGCTTATCACTTACTGCTCAGGCTAATGCCTAGCAATAGTCTCAAGACAATGACAAGGCTTGCAAAAGCTGTAATCTCATAGTGCACCATGGAAGGGTTAGACTGGGCAGCATATTTAAAGTGAAGTGCAACTCCCATCCTTTTCAGATCCTGCTGATCTTTGTGACTGGAAAAGAGGATGCTCTTGCAAATTTGAGGTTCGGGCCCTTCTTTCTCCACACCTGCCTCTGCCCTCCTCACAAACTAGAAAAATACCCCCCCACCCCACGAAATCCCAGGACCTCTGACTCTGGTGGGAAACTTCTAGCAGCTGGACTGGTTCTAATGGCAACACCCTAAGTCCAGGAGAGCAAGGATATGTTGGCCTTTTCTCCATCCCTGAACCTGGCGAAGGTACCCAAGAAATGTGCTCCCCCAAAGTGCTTACAGAAACGCAACAGGTGATGTCACTGCCACCTGCGTTCCCTGCAGTTCAGCAGATACTTCCTGGGCATCTATGTGGTGCTGGGCCCTGGGCCAGTGCCTTGAGGAAGGCAGAATTCCACCCACGTAGTAGGAGTGTACTGCCTCCAGGGCCCTGGGTCAGGCAAGAGGGAAAAGGCACGTGAGGCAGCCTTCCTGGCCCTGAGGAGCTAGCAGCCACATGGGCTGTTCCACACAGGCCTCAGGAAGTATATGTGATATGCACAGGCTGTCCTGCACAGGCCTCGGGAACCACATATGTGACACACACAGGCTGTCCAGCACAGACCTCAGGAAGCATGCATGTGACATGCCCAGGCCATCCAGCACAGGCCTCAGGAACTACACATGTGACACACACATGCTGTCCTATACAGGCCTCGGGAAGCACGCATGCAGCATGCACAGGCTGTTTCACACAGGCCTCAGGAAGCACATGTGTGGCACACACAGGCTGTCCCACACATGCCTGCCTCTGTCCTGCCCCTTGGGTTTCCTGAAACCCACCAGCTGCCTTGGTTCCTCAGCCTCCCTGTCTTAGCATCACCAAAGGCACATGTGTGATGGCCTCACCCGTTTGCCACCATCTTCTGTGTCCCCAGACATAGCAAACTGTCGCAGCAATGCCTTTCTGTCCTTTCAGTCCAGCACTTGGCATCGAGTGTCTTTCAACACTTAGTGGTGGTCCCCAGAACCCTGATTCCGTGGTTCCCCCACTCCAGATGTAAGGGTGTCCCCAGCCCTGCCAGCCATCCCTCCCCTCCATCCTCTCCCCTGAGCTGCTTCTAAGCAGCAGGCTTCCACCACAATGTCTGATCTTTATGTCACAACCTTTCCAGAAAACCAGTCAGAACAAGACTTTGCTACCCATCAAAGAGAATTCCAACATCCTCTCTCTTCCCAAACGCTCTATCATTCTTCTCAAGCATTTGCATGCTGATTTGGAGGGATTCTTGGAATCCGCTACAGAAAAAAAAAAAAAAAATGCCTTTAACTTACATTTTTCAGATTGAAAAACTGAGGTTCATTTAGGAAAAGAAACATACCCAGGGTCACGAGATGAGGAAGTTGAAGTCAGTCCTGGAGGCCTGGATTCTTCTATGCTAACACGCTTCTCTCTCTGTTGCTTGCACTCTGCCTGTTCTGTCTTGCCAGGTGGAGTTCAGTCTCCATGAAAGAAGGGGCCGTGTCAGGGTTATATGACCACCAAATAACTATCAGGTCTCAACAGCCCCTTAGTGGTCTGCTCGGTGGCTTCCTACAGTCTTCGAGAAGGAGTTAACTTATCTGAAAGAGGCTTTTATTTGAGAAGAGCAAAAATGCCCCCAGAGAATGAGAACTGGAGTCTCTCTAATGAAATGGCTGAACAATTTGATTTAATCTGTGACAGTTTTATGCAGTGGCTGAAGGTGGGAGAGAGGGTACTAGAGACATAATTGCTTCTAAGAACAATAGAAAAGGGCAAAAGAGAAATGAGGTAATTAACACTGGCTTGGCACATCCGTGATTTCTTCCTCTCTTTCCTTGGTGTGTGTAACTCTTAGGTTTCTGGGTCAAAGAATCATAACTGTTATTACCTTATTTTCCCTCTGGTCTTTGGGCTAATGCTATTTCCTTTGTGTGAATTTGGACCTTGGTTTCCTCTTCTGAAAAATGAGATGAGTAGAAAAGTTGATCTCCAAAGAGCAAGCCTTATAACCCCATTTAATTTTAGCAATCACGACTCAATGGTTTTTGAAAATTATTAATAAAAGAACCATTGGCATTTTAAATGTGAAGTCCCATTGGACAGAATCCAACTCTTGTCTTTTTGTGCTTCAGAATGAAGAGAAGACAGTTAATGTGTACAACCATCTTCTGGGAGGCAATTTGCAAATACTATTGTGTTTAATCTTACCAGCATTCCCGAGGGCAGATGCTCTTTTACTTTGTTAGTGTGAGATCAGGGGTTCATCACCTGCACACTGTTCCAGAGCTGGAAACCCTGCATCTCCTAACTTCAGGACCTACACCTTTTGCTCAGGACCAGGCCGCCGTCTCTCCAGTGTAAGGAACTCTGGTCAGTGGTGGCTGGCTGCCATTTGAGCAGACATAATGGCATGGAAAGGTCACATACTGGCAGGGCATTGGCATTGACAGTGCAGGATGTGCCAGCCAGCAGCCCCTCTCTCAATAGATTTCTGTTTCACAGATCTGGGTCCTTTCATTGTGTGCTCTGAATTGTCTTATAAATCCAGGTGGAGAGGCTTCTCAGAACCTTCCTTTCCTGGGGCAGCATCCCAGGACAGCTCTGTGCACCTTATCCATCTTGTGCTTCTGATGCCTGGGAAGGAGAGTGGCCCAAACCCCTTTATCATGCACCGAGGGGGAGAGAAATTGAGGAAGTCCAACCAAGGGAAGGCAGGACAGAAAGCCAGGAGCTGAACCCTTGGTGACAGAATTAATTTGAAAACTTACTTAGGGATGCTACCTTCCCTTTGGCCTTAGAAATTTCTGCTGCAAAGTGTGACAGCTATAAGCCCATTCATGCGATCTTCTTCTAAGGCATGGGAGCACGGTGGGTCAAGTGGAGAAACCTCAATGTCCACCATATATGTGAATGCCAGCAGCAGCAGTGATGACGAGAATCCCCCTATCCCACGATTGGTCAGCGAGCATCCTCTGCCAGGCGCAGACCTAAGCACCGTCCAGCCAGTGTGTCCTAACTTGCTCAGAACAACTGAACTTTATAGCTGAGGTAAATTTAGTGACTTATCCAAGCTTA